AATAAAATTGTCTTCAAATCAGTTTGGATGATGATGATGATGACATGCTAGGAACTCGCATATATCTACGATGAAATTAGGGGTGCTGACACTACTGAAAACAACGAGAACTTGAAAAAAAGACGGGGTATCAAGTAGGGACTCCGGAGATCAGCCAGTTTAACCGTTAGGTTCGTGGCAGCCCGTCGCTACAATCAGATGTTTAGACGATCCTGATAGAAGAAAGTAATAACCAGCTGCCCAGCAACCCTTAGTCCAGCTACTTGTAACAAAATCTTAGTTCTCAGATGGCCAGCTCTGTGCCTACACTAGTGCAAACGTTAAGAGCAGCGTGCCAGTCCTGACAGAGGCAACAATTTATAAATTTTCGAATTGTCCAAAGATAAGCTCATCTGAAGGCAACAACTCATGAGCATCCAGTCCAAAAATCGACATTCAAAGTACCCCAACTGGCCAATCATCCAGATTGGCTTTTGCTTTTAAGAGAAGAACATTGTCAGTCGGTCAGAAAATAAGGAGACATATAAAACTAACAACAAAAGTAATATTTTGAGCAGCAAGCTAGAGCGAGCACTCTAATGATTTCCACTCTGAGAAGAAGGCGACTCGATCGCTGGGATCGAGTCGTCTTCTTCTCAATTGCTTCCTGGGACTTGCATGTTCGCTTATATTGACGATTTTTACTCTGCCAGCTAACACAGGTAGGAAATTAAATTCGATAGAAACTAGCTCATTTGCAAGGGGGGGAGAGGGGAAGTGAAATCACTAATGAACGGCTAGATTCTTTAGAAATAAATGGAGAACGCTTAAGTTACTTCGCTTGCTCTGAACGGATGGCAATCCGGTCAAACGGGAGCCGTCGATCATGGGCTGCGTGAATTCAGAGTCTTCACTATCAGGCACGAGAAGGGTTTTCTGAAGATCTGTGGCGGCGTCAGAACTCGACACTACTGGACCCGGCGGATGGCTGGGCGTCTCAAAACGGTCAGATAGGTCGAGAAGCCTCATTCGCTTGGCCTCGGAGGGCGATGAGCTGACGGTCTCCTTTTCGGCTGCTGGAGTCGAGAGGG